AAATTGTAGCAAAAAAAAAAAAGGAATACCTATTTTCTTTTATTTTTCTCTAAAAATATCCTTTACGATTTGAAATAAATAACATATTTTGCCCTTAAATTTCCTTCAACACTATTGTTTTCTATCAGTTTTCATGCCTTAATAACATAAAATGTCCTATTATCTTATCTCTTTTTAATTGAAAACGTTTACATATTATATTTTCTGGTTTTCCTTTATTCTGTCCGAACTTTTTCTATTTGTAACTTGAATGGAATTTTTCTAAAGTACCTTATCGAGAAGATCTCCAGTTTAAATGACGAAATTCGGTTTTTCTATAATCGAACGTTTTTCTTTAATACAATTTCATTTTCATTTTCCTTATATTTGCATAAGTCGTTTTACATAATAATTTTAAAGAAATGATAAATTTTCAAATAAACTATAATAAGAAAGGTATTTTTTAGCAATCAATAACAATATTTTTGAATTAAAGTAAATTGAACGTAAATCAGTAAAGATTAATTTTATGTTCGAATGCCTGTTTTATTTTCAATTTTATTTAAACAAATTTTTTTCTTTGGAAAATATTTTTGAGGCAAAAAACGTAATATAATACATTACAAGAAGTGTTTTTATTTCTGTTACACATCATAATATTACGAGTATGTCTCGCACAAACATTTTGGTTTGTTTTTTTAAAAATTATGAGAGTATCAAATGTAAACATCATTAATTTGTTCATCACTAGAAAATATTTAACACTCTCGCAGGATGACAGCACTCTGTATAATAAAACGTTGAACCAGCAGTAGTTGTTTGGTTTAGACTTTATCGATACAATGGGCAGCCACTTAAAATACTCCGTAAGAAATAAAATATAATTTACCGATGCACGATGGATAAAAATAAAATAATTTCTCAATACTGTACTTATATTTTAATAATATATTCATATAAACACATTTTGATCCCCGATTGAATTACAAAATCGTACGATTTATCGCTTTTTAACTAGGATTATAATAAGCTGCCTAAATAAGTGTTAAAAATAACAGGTAGAAAATATTATTTCAAATAGCGAAATCCAAGACGTTGAACATAAATCTCGAGTCTTTATAGGCCCGAGAACGGGAAGAAAGGACACGGCCGACTGCTTTCCTTAAGCCCGATTCGACACAAGCGGACTGTTTTTATGAAAAATAAACAATTTTCATGTCGTAGTACTACATTATATTTTATATTTTTATTTTTTTATGGCTGTTGACTTTATTGTGTCCAGTCGTTTGTTTTGGTTATAATAATTTTCAGCGGACAACAGGTTTAAAAATCCATGGGTACAAATATTTTAAAATAAAGGAATAGTTTCCAGTGCATTATATGGTGGTAACGTAATTTAAAAGAAAGTGAATTTATAGATTGAAGCAATAATTTGCTGTTTTATAGCAACTTAACCGAATTGTTATCCGATGAAATTTATTTACTATTTTTATTTTAAGTGTCCATTAATTGTACTCATCTTGACCGTTATTGTACGTTCAGAAGTCGTTAATGTTGAAAATTAGATTTATTTTTCACTTTTGTTTTCTTGTACGATATTGTTTATATAATTGTTTATTTACTATTGGTTAAAATTACGGTAAACGGTAATAACGCGTAAAATAGTAAACATTTAAAAATTATATATCACGCCGATACGTCCAGCTCCGCTTATATTGCCATTCTATTCGTATAGTTACGGCAATTGATTTAGTTGACAAGGAAATGTATATTATTGGTAACATCATTATTATTGTATTATTACCATTATTAATTTAAATATGCGTATTAAATATACATTCATAATAATAAGTAGGTATTAAAAAATAATTGCATTAAGAATTTTAAAAAAGTCCTTTCAATGATTAAAAAATTAAAATATTTATCTAATTTTTTTTTTAGGTTTATACACATACTAAAATAGTTCACTGAAACTTTTCGAAATTGTATTCTACATGGTATTAGGGTTTATTGTTCTTAAAACGCATTTAAAAACCGGGCACCCTTGTCGAGTTGGCTTTCCTAACTTGTTTTATATATTTCTTGCACTATTTGATTTATAAACGTAATACGTCTCAAAAGAAAATTTTAAATTTTACCCTAGTCAAATCGTTCGTATTTTCGGTAATCTAACAAGACCGTTCGACCATTTAACAACCACAAGATGCCACATTAAACCCTGGGGACAGAAGTATCGAATTTACCGGAGGGGTGACGCAGGTAATATAATATATATAATATAATATATATTTATCATTCTCCATTGCCTTAAAAAAAAAAAATGTTTTTACAATTTATTTAATAAAAACAAAAAATACATAAGCATTCCTAGAGTCTTCAGAAATCCTTGAGTAAATATAAGATGAAAAATGAAGGGGTGGTTAGAGTTTTTTTTTTTTTTTTACCAATCATCAACCTCACTTGCCACAATCAAGGATTTCATAAGAGCATCGAGCAGGAGTTAATTTTTGAAATTCTTTGTGTATTTCTTAATAATATAATATGTCGATGATGATCCACAAAATAAAACGGGAATACTTACGAAATACTGGTTTTTATCGAAATCGAATTGTTATAATTGTAGTGACGCGATATTTATACAACTTTGAGTTGTTCATGCCTATCTAAAATTTTCGGTTTTCTTTTTTTGATTTGTGTTAGATTACGATTTTCAAGTGAGATGCGAGATCTATTTAAAATGTTGATATATTACGGAGCTACCTACCTACTTAACCTCGCTTAAAAATGAAAATATCGCGAAAAACATATGACATAACTTCGTAGATTATATGTTTTTATTTTTAATTTATTCTGCAAGTAATATTAAACCATTCAGCACTAAAGTTATCTTTGTAGACTGCAAACTTGTTACGTCGTACATTTATAAGACTATTACAGCAAGTTCTCTTAGCAGTGTGTATCCAGAGGACTTGAAGGGACTATAACTCCACTTCTACCCGATATTTCAGTAAATTTTAAATTACTGTTCTAAAAAATGTTTTTTTTTTTTCAATTCTTAATTTCCGTTATATTATTATGGTCAGATCCCTGCGTATATTATAGCAATATTTTCGACCTCGTATAAAGTGACTGGAAACGCTATTAATATACGATATGGATATTCAAAATATTAGTACCCATTCGTTTATTCGTACCGTTTGTTTTATGAATATTTCGTCGATCTCGGTATTGCCGCTGTGCTATAATAAATTAAATATATCGAGTCTCGAAAATATTCTTTATCGAGTGTATAGTATGCAATATCGACGTCATAAGTCATCGCGGTATACGTATACCCATAAACCACTTATATGTATTATATTACCGCGTTCAGTATAAATCAACGGTAATAAACGATAGTGCAAGCGTGTTTTTGCTCCTCATATCGCGTATTATATAATACGATTGACCTTTCTCCGGGGCGGTGGCAGCGGTGGAGTACAAATGACTGGCTGTTTCTTATGACGCGTGTTGTGTACGTTATCAAAACGTAGACGTCACGAATATCATCAGCCCTGTCACATTCGGAGCTGCACCGCAAGAGCGGCGGCGGCGGCGGTGGCGTCTCGTCGGAGAGGGTGGGACGGTATCGGAAAAAACTGCGATATAGAAGAAGAAGAAGAAGAAGAAAAAGATTGCGGCGCGGGAGTTAATGCACAACGCGATATTATTTATCGCGGACTGCCGCCGCCGCCGAGTCTTTGCCCGTGCACGGGGCCGTATCAATCAATTTTATTTTTAAAAGGATGGTGGCGGCGGTCGTCCCAAATAATAATGTATATCTATCGCGTACTTTGCCGAACGTCCCTCGGGAACGGCGGCGGCGCGACCTTAATGTGTTTGTTCGGCTTATCGGCCTCGAGTTTAACATTGACGAGCGTCCGTCCGACCCGCGCCGCGTGGACTCCCCGTGATTTGTTGCGGCGCATCAGCTTTTGACAAAGCGTCCCCCGTCCGTCCGCCCGCCGTCGCGTTCACCGTATAGCGTGTACGTTAGGTTTACAGCAAGTTATATATAATAACACCCACACACCTATGTATTTATACGTATTGTGTTATTATGTATTTTTAATAAGTCGACGAATAGACGGTATCCGCTCTTTATGTAACTACCTATGAAAAAAAAAAAAAATCTTCCTGTACACGGAGTGATGCACTTATCACTTTACTTTTTTAAAAGTATTTTCCGTTTTTTTTTTTTTTTTTTTTAAATCATTATTGAAGTGTTTAAGTTTTATTTTACCACTATTTTCAATTGTTTACCGCTATTCATTATGTACCTACCTGAATTGAGCATAAAGTGCATACTCATTTAGGCCTGTAGTAATGGGGGGTAATAGGAGGCATTCTCCCAAAATTGTTCTCTGATCCCCTAGAATTTTTATCAAATACGGTCATTTTCGAATAAATCGTTTTATTAGGAAAAAGAATATAAGAGTAAACAGTAATACTATTGGATTTTTTCTAATACCTCCTCTATAACTCGGGTTTCCCCCACCCTGAAGAATTTTCCTGAGTACGGCCTATACTCATTCAAATAAAGAATATTTTTTTATGCATTTTGATACATACTTAATTATTTATTCAAATATTATACGGACAGATAGTCAGTAATACAAATTAGTAAAATCTAAGTGCTAAAAAATTGCGCATTTAAAATATAATTAACATAAAATATATATGAATGTAAAAAAAATACAAATAAAAGAAAAAAGAAAGTTAAAGATAAAGACTGCTGAGTAAATTCAAAAACAAATTTATTACCTGCAGTCAGTTAAAGATTAGCTGGTAAGTTGAGAATATAATTTTTCTGGACAAAACAATTGATAGAAATGTTTTGGATCTCTTGTAATTAGACAATTTATTTTGAAGCGAATAACTAATAAGAGAAAGCATTTCAGGGCAATCAATAGTCCCTAGTATAAAGTTATGTAGGAATCTTGAAAGCAGGGATGAACGCCAGTCAATAAGAGGAGATAAATTAAGGAAGTTAAAAACATTTTGGTATGATCCGTGCGTGGGTATGTCTAAGAATGTTAAATTTGAAGGAAACAAAGTGTAGACAATTATTTTGCACAGATTCTATGGCCTTGTTTTGCTTAAGAATATTATAAATCAAAGAGCAATATTCAACATTTGAGCAAACAAGAGAACAGTCGAGTGATTTCAAGGCTGTTGGGTTATAGAATAATCGACAAGTTCTTTTAATAAATCCTAGATTGCCTATTGATTTATTTTAATTATTTCGGTATAAATAGAGAAATTAAGTTTTGTGTGAAAAATCACACTGAAATCCTTAAAATTAGTTTCTAAATCGTGGTATAGTCTGTAAATTAATTGGATTTTTTTATTAAGGCATAGCGAACATATTTACATTTGTCAATGTTTAGTGAGCCATACATCAAGACTATTAATGCCACTTTGGAGATTAATTGCATTTTAGCTTGTTCGTATGATATTGATGGGCTTTGCATTGTCGGTAAACAAGAACAGGTAGAAGTGCTGGATGACGTTGAGAAGATTATTAATACAAATATTGAATAAGAGAGCGGACAAATGATTACCTTGGGAAACACCTGAGGGGACGTTGAATTGGGCAGATTTAAAATATTAATATTTAATTATATGACGATTTATAAGAAAAGAACGAAACCACGATAGCAAAGAACCAATAATGCCAAATGACCGAAGTTGATTGTATACGATTTAATGGTTTACTCTAACAAAAGCTTTGGTAAAGTTGGTGTAAATAATTTTAGTTTGATTGTTGCAGTCAAAAGATTCTAAAATTATATTCCTAGTTAAATTTAAATTATCGCTTGAGGATCGCATAGGAATAAAAGAAAATTGATGATTGTTAAAGAATGTAGAACAATAGTTTGTTATTTTTAAGGGTATAAACTTACTTTGTTTGGGAATTATCGATAACTTAAGAGATTGGACGATAGTTTGATAATAGAAAGAAATAGAAAGAATAGGATTTAGAAGGATTTGAAGAATTTGTGCGATGGGTTAGGGGTAAGTCAGAATAGGAATTAACAAAGAATTTGGTGAAAAGATCGACATTTACTTGGTCATTATCTACCATGGATGGACCAAGGGACATTATTTTGGGTAAAGCACTCTATCTCATTATCCTAGAATGTTTCTTTTGAGGTTTTTCGGACTACTGTTCAAACTGATTTGTAGTAACTGTCGTATAGAATAAATGCTGTCAAATTTTTTTAAACGTATTTTTAGCTGAAATCACTATAAGAAGGCAAGAAGTTGTGTTCTCTTATGGGATAATATTTTTCTGTTTCATCAAAATTTGTCATCATAACCAGAGCAAGTAACATTTTTACTAATGCGTGGTTTTTGTTTTATCTGGTGCAATTATCACTAAATATCTTCAAAGTATTCAGATTTTCAAAAAAAAAATATTTTTCTTATAACATTATCACTTGATATTAATTCGTCTGACTAGCTACGTATTTATTCATATTTAGTGTTTTCGGAATGCAATAACGATAAAGTACCTGATTATGGATAAATCTATTTTTGAATAAATTATTTCGTTATAATTTATAAAGCATACGTATAATGAATTCAAGGAAAATATACAATAATATTACGAGCAATTAAGTTAGTGGTTCTCAACTCAAAAATTGTGTGAGGAAATGTTCACGTCCAAGCAATGACAATAAGTTAAGAATTTCAATGATACCAATAAAATATCAGTTGATATTAGAATAATACTACATGATAATAAAGCAGACGGAATAAAAAACAATTGATAAAGCAGACAAGATATAGCAATAAAAATTATATAAATTCATGTGAAAAGAGACATTAGTCCAGGAATAAGACCTCTTCACATATGAATTTTAAAATTAAAAAAATTAAAAAACCATTTTATAAATCGGAAAATGCCTGAATCAGGTAATTTCTGGCATAAAACGTTAAATCTGCCCTAACCCTTGCACCCTAACACTGAAAATCTGGCGGTTAACTTGATTTTGTCAGAAATGAAGTTAAGGACAATTTTTGCATGAATCGAATCAATTGGATCACCGGTAAATATATAGAGTGGTTTTTTCCCATGATTCTACGATTATCTAAAATGTATACGAAGATTTTCGAGTGAAATTGATTTTGGTTATTTTGTTGTTATATTTAGAATCGTTTATGAATGATCTAATTTACTATAATGGTTTGCAATATTGGTTACCTACCCTTATTTTGTTCACAATCTCGTAAACAAGTCATATAATATCGACTTTCTACCCCTGTTTTAAAATCAGATTTGAAAACAGAATATTTGTCTAAAAACTGTTGCTACGAAAAACACTATACCTACTATGATATCACCAATTTACCGTTTACGAGTTATAACGATTTAAATGTATTTAAAGAAGTGGAAAGAAGATTTATCATCCAAAAATGAATATTCCTTTTTTTATGTATGTATTTTTCACTCAATAAAAATATTTAGAGAAATATTTAATTTTTAAATCTTTGTTGAAAATAGGGAGGGATAATTGCATTCACAATCTAATATACTCATTTAATTTTTAATGTGTAAGGAATAGGAGGCAACATTTGAAATTAGTATTAAAATAATGATTAAATGGTAACATAATACTACAATCCTCTAAAAAAATAATGATGAAAAAGACCAAAACTGATCATAGATTTGTCACTGCTTTAAAAGAATCCTAATTATATTTCTATGCAAAAATAAACCATTGCCAACAAAAAACGGTTCTAGGCAGAGTATTTGTTTTCCCTATTGCAATAGAATCCAGAAGGTCAAAAATCAACAAAAAATATTTAAATAATAACCATTTTTCCCATTTATTAAGAAAACTATAAAAAAAATCGTTCAACTAGATCAAAAATGAAACAAGAAAATTCCTATAAAGTTTTCGATTGGAACGAGTTATTTGGTACAAAAAAAATGTACAAACATAAAAAATAATAATAAAATTGAAAAGGATGGACATATTTCGCGAATGGGTGCAGCCACTATTGTAGGTGGGAAGTTGGAAATGTAGGCTACAGACGGGAATTTAATTTATATCTGTAAGCAACGATAAACCATTGCTAACAAAAAACCGATTCTTAGCCGATTTCAGTTGATAATGTTGCTTTGTCAACAATACAATGTATAGTACTATGTCATATTATGGTAAAATTATTAAAACAATATGCGTTTAGATAACAACAGTGATTGTTTAAAAAAGATTAAAACAATAAGAACTTAATAATAATAATAATAATAAAAAAAAAGAATAATAAATATAGTTGCCAATAACAACTTTATTATTTTTAATATTTTTAACCTATAGAACTAAGTTTTCCTAATTATCTCGAATAGTAATAAGAATTTCAAAAAATGGCCTCTTCCAGAAAAAGTGCTATAATTGATAATCGAAGTAATTTTTATGGTAGAAAGTGTTTGCATAAAAAAAAAAGAGAGCTAATACTGGGGACGTATGCGGCCGCTGTTGTAGGTAAGAAGTTGAGAAGGTAGAATACATAAGGTTATTTCATTTATATCTGTAAGCAACGATAAACAATTGCTTGACGAAAGACGATTCCGATAATTTTTGTTCGTTCTGACTTATGAAATAAACAATATTATTATTAACACTTGAGTTATTCATTTATGTTAATATTATTTATCGTCGTTTTTATTTTAATATTACACTTCGGATAAATATTTAATTTTAAGGATAAATAAAAATTATAACTGTCCAAGTCCAAAGCTTCATCACGCACCGTTTATTTTTGTTTAATGTAATGCTATATAGTGTCGAGTAATAATAATTCATCACATTTTAATAAAAAAAAAAAAAAATGAATTTTTTTAATTAAATGTACCTACCTTAGGACTATAACTAAACCGATTAAACGGTTAACTCACATTATTCGGAATAATACCGCGCGTGGGGGCGCAAATCCATGGCCAGACTTAAAACTCGAAATCACAAACGTATGTCCTATATACATTATACATTATAATATTACGTATATTTATTCATATACTCTATAAACACCTAATAGCATATTAATATTATAGATATTAGAGGTCAAAAATATAATCGGATAATCTCCCATTTGTATGATCCAGTATACGTATTTTTCTTAAACCTGCTCAGGGTATTATAAAATCTCCAAAGTATTGGAAGTATAGATACGTGTATTGCTGTTGTATTCGATTAGTTAATCGAATAACTATTAATTTATTAACTGTCTATTAACTATTACAAATTTTAGTTAGGCGTATAAAATATTATATTTTTGTGTCTGTTTACAACTTTTATAACCAGAATCTTGATCCAATCGAAAAACGACAGAAATATTCGTTGAAAATGTCGTCTATAGTTAATGCATCACAAAGGTCATTTTTTGATTGTCCGTGTAGTTTTCTTAATATTGGTGAAAAATCGAAAGATTTACGTAACATCTAATGGTTTCAATTGCCTATTTACGATTTTGTTTTAGTTGATATGCATATAAAAATAACCGTCTAGACCTGAAATATCCACCGAATACTTTTTTTTAGCCCTTTCTTGACGTAAATTTTAAAACCAATTACATGGCACACGGGGAAAAGGGGATTTTAAATAAGCATCTAATATTTTCAATAATCAGGTATGTTACCTATTTATCAATTCCATGTGTTCAGATTCAAATTCGACATTTGTGAAATAAATGTTTCTGTTATTTTTTACAGTATTTTTCTCTATTATCTACCAGGTTTTGCATAAAAAATCGGGGTTTATTTTTAATTAAAATTCCGACATGAGCGAGCGAATATAGATGGCAGAAGACCCCAAGATGAATAAGAATATTTACTATTACTATACTGACAAAACGATATTTTATCCTACTTTTTTATATCGGCCTATCAGAAATCTTATTTTAACCGTACAATTCAAACCAGGCAATGAGAGCCTATTATGACTACAGAAATTTTCATTAAAATAAAATTTCTACTGTGTTGTCTAACTTTTAGGACTAAAATATACATCGTCACCAATCCCATTAAACGAGTTTATTGTGTCATCGCATACCACACAGTATCTAAGTATAACTGTATTGCAGGCAATATCTAATTCGTGGTGGTGAGAAAAAAATATACGCACATGATTTAGGAAAACCGCGAGACACCGTTTAATAACCCCTGTGCATCGTTTAAAATAAT